TGTCAATTCGTTTCCTGCTTTGTTTGGCCGCAGATATCATAGGGAGAAGGAGTTTGTGCAATCCTAAAGAAATCTTCAGACTGTCTGTCACCCAATGTTTCACAGAAGAGCTTTATGCGTTGAGATAACCATTCCGGTTACTTTTCACTCACACACACACACACACACACGTATACATACACAGTGATTGGAACTGGCTACCACAAGATATTATGGACTTCAGGTCCACTTATTTCATGCAAGTTTGTGGTGTGTGAGTCTTTAAAAACTCTGTTAGCTTATTCAGACTATTTGTTAACTGATATTGCAATGAAATAGAATGCACAGTTGAAAAATAAACTCAGGAAAACAACAAAAAAGTGAATAATAATCAAATGCTTCGGGGCAAAATAAAATCTTAACAAATTAAACCGCTATTGTTGTTATTATTGCTGTTATTATTATTATTGCTGGGATTATAATTTTATAATGTTCTTGTTGTTGTTATTATTATTATTGTTATCGTTTTATATTCAACGAATGGTGGTAGACTGACTGCTAAAGTAAAAGAAACCTGAAGAACTGGATACATGCACAGATTGAATTGAACAATCGGCTAATTGGCTGGCTTAATGCATTCAGCATAATATGCGCCTATCTACACCTACTCATCCACCTACCTATCTACCTAATGATTTGTCCACTTGGATGAAAATTGAATTTAATGCTTGAAAAATTTATTAAAATCTCATTTTTTTTATTTCACTTGTGTATATATTAGCTTTATGCACTCCCTCCCTCCTCCCCTACACACACACACACACACACACACACACACAAATGAACCTACTTATATACTTCCCTCTCTCTTTGTCTCTTTTTGATTGAGATGTAATACATTATATTTCAAATTACAACATCAGAAAAAATCAGTGTAACAAGGTCAGGCGAGATTTTTTCTGAAGCATAAATTTATGTTTTGCCTTATCTGAAATGTCAGTGTGTGTGTGTGTGTACATGAATGCGTAAAACTGTGGGGAAAATTTGATTCAAGTACTCGGGCAATTTAATATAATAATGCAATAATAATAACAATAATAATATTCTATTCATGAAAATTACCGACTATTATTATCCGAAGAGAAGAAAATGAAAATTTAATATGGTTCATAAAAATTCATTCAAATAGAAAAGTTTTTATCCTCCCTTCTGGCGAAGGAAACATACCTACGCACTCACGCACGCACACTCACAAACGCACACACACACACACATGCAGAGAAGCATAAATACCTCGTCAAATGCTAGTTTAGAGGGACTATTTCTACCCGTGATCAAAGTGTTGTTTGGTCAATATCTGCCTGTCTAGAAGGATATTTTGTTCCCTTACAACTCGTCATTTAAAAAAGAAACCACTGCCAACAACAACAACGACAACAACAAAAAACAATTTTCACGAAAGTAAGTGTATGTGAGTATGATCGGGCGTTGAACACAATGAATAAGCCTAACACACACACACACACACACGCTGCTTGTCTTCTTTACCCTATACATAACGAATGCTGTTAAAAATTGAATTAGATTTTTAAATTCCTTATAGGGCGAAAGAAAAGCCAAAAAAAAGAAAGGAAAATAATAATAAAATAGCAACATAATTTCGACTTGATTTTTGCGTATATATCACGACAAAGTCAGTGGGATAAAAGTATTCTAGAGGTAGACGGACAGATGAACAAGGACGCGCTCATTCATACACTAACACACTCACTATACGCATACTTACAAGGTAAGTCGTAATATTTTCTTTTATGGTTTTTTTTGAGAAGTTTTTGTAGCAGAGGAAAACTGAGCTGAGCATATGTGTACTGTGAAAAGAATGAGTTCATCCTCTAAGTGATCTATGTTCACATACTCACACACACACACACATAGGCGCACACACACACGAGGATGTAACATTTTTTTAAATACTGTTGTAATGAACAGAGGAGGAAAAGAAAATTCAGTTTTTCATACGCGTATTCTTTCTTCTTATAAAATTGAAAATTATATTTAAGTAGTATAAGTAGAAATAGGGAAGCAAGGTGGCTAAGCGATGAGGCAGAGGAAAGAGGAGAGGTGGAGCAGGAGGATTACGCTAAAAAGGAAGCAAATCTCTAAAATAAGAAAAAGAAGAAGAAGTATGAAATTAAAGATGACGTTCTTTTTTTATGAAAGAAGTTTATTTTCAACAACGACAACAAAAAAGAGAGTCATAATGTACTTGCACAAAGGGAATATAAAGAAAGGATAGGGATAAAGGCATACTCAGGCCTACATCCACACCCACATACACATACACACACCGACACGCGTACACACATGTATGCCTGCAGCATGCATTGACGTATGCACCAAGAGGGGAGTATGAATAAGTAAATGATAAAAGCAGTAACAGAGGAAAACAACTTATCGCCTAATTGAATTGCAAACCAATTTAATCTTTCATTCGTTTGAAGTTTTCAGTTGTAAATCATTATTTCCCCTTGTTTCATCTATTATTACTAAGATATAAGGTAACTAACTAGCTAACTGGCTGCGTAAATATTAATTATATATGTAGACCTAGAAAGTTGATCTGGATTAGTCGATAGTTTCTTCCTTCTTGGCAAAACGTTTATATCGGTCAGTGATGCGAGTTCTGCCTTCCTCAGATTTGCCTTCTTTTCTATCAATCCTCTGGATTGATACAATGATTAGTAAACGCAATAACAATAGTGCCATTAATAATAATAATAATAATAAAAGTCATCATATAGATTGCAGCAATCTAGAAACTAGCGAATTGAAGAGATTGTTATTTAAGGAATTAATGACAATTAAGTTGAATTTTAAAGACGAACTAGAACTCTGTGAAACAACATTTAGGAGAACAATGAGACAAGCTAAAACTAGTTGCATCTTTAATTGTTGAGTAAAGGTGAGTAAACGAAGAAACGTATGCGGGGAGACAGCAACAATGAGTGCAATAGCATAGTTAATTAGCATTTCGAGATGCATCATGTCAAAAACGAGTATTTTCAGGTCAGATGGGATAGGAATACTACCGGGCTTGTTCTAGTTTAAGATACTACTTCAGTTTGATGTGCCGATTACTCGTCGTGGAAACAAGGGTAAGGCGGTCAGTTTATGAGTGTGTGTGTGTGTGTGTGTGTGTGTGTGTGTGTGTGTGTGGTATAATCTGGTCTTGACGGAACTGGCAGATGTTGGGACACATGGGCCATTTAATTTTGTCCCATTGGTTGAATGGTCTATAAGCTCACCTTGTAACCGAAAGGTCCAGAGTTCAAACCCCAGAGGGTGTGTGATATTGAAAAGTCCTAAGCTAGGGGGACGAAGCAGCTGTCCAGTACTCCCAGGAATTTTTTATTAGTCCTGTAAATGACGCCAGTTCATGATCAAACCTGCAGGTTAAATGTGCTGTGTCAAAGAAATGATGAGAAATATTAACTAAGTAGTGTTAATATACATGAGTTCACAGTGTAAGGTTTCTTATTCACTCAACTATACCACTTCTAATACTACAGTAATTAGAACAAGACATATAAGCGAACGATATTATTGTTTTCAATTAGATCTTCTTCAGGCCTTACATAGATTTATATATAAAGCAATTTAACCAATGATGGTGAGTTTGTGGGTGAAATGATGTGTTAAATGTTTTGAATGTCACTAATAATGATGATTATAATGATAACAAAATATTGATAATAAGGTTTTTGCAGGTGGCGATAAGAATAACGACGGTGGTAATACGTTTGTATATGTAGACAATTCAATAAATAAATTAGGCCAAATCTTAAAAATCAATTTAACTGCTCCTGTGGAGTGAGCCATTTACGTAGGCCGTACAACTAGGTGTGTTTCTTGTCGGAATTCCGAATATCACCCTGTGTGGTTGGTTAAGTAAAGGACAAACAAAATCTATTCGTAGCCCTATTCTATCTCATCTTGTGGATACAGAACACAAGACTGGCGTTAACCAGACTTTCAGGGTCATTTACCGCATACCAACAAATCTCAATTTCGCCTTAACAGTTCGACTACTAAATATTGCTGAGTCTGGCCGTTGGGATCCATATTAAGAAGCCCAGCATATGTGTCCAAAAGAAGTTAGTTCACACATTGTCCTTACCTTGGCCATCTGCGTTTGAATGATCCCCAATTTTTGTGGAATTTTCCTAATTTTAGTTGATATTCTATTTGCTACTATATCTTTATTATTATTATTTACGTATCTTTAATGAACTGTAATTTCATTGTGACTAGGATTGTTCTTTCGAATCAATTTCCGTAGCCTCTTCGGCTATGTGTTTAGCAGGCGGGTTCGAATTCCGTTCGTAAAGCTTGATGGGGAATGCGAGATAGATAACTTTGAAGGCACTTCTTCTTTCGATGCACACGGGGACTGCTGTCAGTCGAATGAGACAAAATAGGACTTCTTATAGATTTTATTTGACCTTTGCCGAAACCATGAAGGAAGATGCTTATTGTTGAGCTGTCTGTTACTAACGTTCAAAGCGCGTAACACTTAAAATTATTATTTGATCCACATAATCACCATCACTGGTTAGATTTTGAACACACTAATCTATGTAAATTAGAGTAAAGCCTGAAGAAGATCTTAGTTGAAAACAGCAGTATTGTTCGCTGACATGGCTTATTCTACAACAGTAATTAATAATAATAAATCTTCCATTAAAACCACTACTACTACTACTACTTATATTACTACTTTTACCAACACTTCTACAGTAACTAGTATGTTAAGTATGAAGCCAGTCAACTGCATCTACACTTATCACTGACCAAATACGATAAATGCTAATATCAAAACATTCCACATACTTATCAGCAATCTTTAAAAAAAAAGTGTTCACGTAAAACTCAGAAATCAAATTAGTGTCCGGTAAGAACCAACCAACCAATAACAGTTAAAGATGTTATCAAATCTAATGACAACTGCATATTACACATACCTTAGCAGTAAATAAAATTCACCTCTTACGGTATATGTCACCAATTTTGCTACAAGTTTGTTGCGACTTGCTGGGGGATGGGCGTTGGGGTTACAGGGAAACAATTATATTCCCAGTGACCAGTATAGATTCCAAACCAAAATAAAAATATCTCCAACTTCGACCAATTAATTTAATCAACAATTATTACTCATCACTGTCATCGCTGAATAATGTATAGATGTATAGATGTGTGTATATGTGTAGGCATATTTCCAAACTTGAGCGATGAAAAACATCTTCAGTTTGAACAGTTTGTAAAAACTACCTACTTGTATAAAAAGAAGTGTGATTGTAGTCATTTTTAAAGGAAACAAGTAAAAAAAAGAGTATCCATTAAAATTAAGTCAATGAATACTAATAACTTATGATACAATTAAATTCATTGGCATCTGAATACAATTCATTTGATGCAATTTACTACAGGAGTGGACTACACTGATTTCTAGTTTAGAAATAAGGAGTGAAACGGTAGAGCACATTGACCGCTTCATTTATTTGGGAAGTACCATCAGCCCCAGCGCCAACGGGTTGATCTCTGACTAAATCTCAGCACGGATACAGAGGGCTAGTTTCGCATATGCCAGTTTATGACGTCTCTGGCCTAGTAGACGTGATATCCGGTTAGCTATCGACCAAAGGGCGGGTGTACTGCTCATCAGTCCGCTCCGTCCTCCTTTATGGTTGTGAGACCTGGTCAGTGAGAGTGGAAGACATGAAAAGACTAGCTAACTGTCTTTGATCATAGGTGCCTGTGCTCTATTTCCCGTGTGAAGTGGCCTAATAGGGTGGGTAATATCGAGGTTAGGCGTCAAGTGCTACGTATGGAAGGGAGTGGAAATAGGTAGACGAGGCTGTGAAATTACATCGACTGAGAGAGATGGTTAGCACATGTGTTACGTATGCCTAGTCATCGCCTTCCTCGACGGGCAAAGTTAACTGACATAGGATGGATCAGGTTGGAAAGGAGCCAGTGGTGGTGAGACCAAAATAGGGCATCAGTCAACGAAATCCACAACAGTTCGTTTAAGCCAGCCACGTAGGAAAGTGTAGACATGCTGACTGGTTGAGTTCCTCGGGACGGTGAAAATCAATGGTTGAAAATAATTGGTGATATGGCTCCAAATCGTTCTCGATGATGGCTAGCGCAGATGCATCACTCCTTGTGACTTATGATTTCCAATGAAACTGCTTTGTTCTTCGTTATTAATATTCCTTTGTCTCACACCTCTGTTTACTGTCTCTATTATGCATTTCTTGTACTATCTTCTCTTGCTTTGTGTGCTACATGAAGGGAGTGTGGCGACTTGAACTGCCGCACATATGTGCAAAGTTCTATGTCGAAAGCAGACAGACAGAATCTACTAATACTACGACTACTACTAATTAACTCTTGAAGATTAGTGTGATGCCCGCTGGTGACTGGGTACAGGACGAATTGAGAAATCATGACCAATGGGATCCATCCGGTCGGGAGTGAGGACAGCTACTCGTCGATGATGACTGCGCTAAAACCACTGACTGGTAAAAGTTAGAATTCATTGAGTAACCATTGAGTCGGATCCGAGTGACTAAGTGGTCTACGAGATTTACTTGTCACCGAAAGGTCCTCGGTTCGAACCATGACAATGAGTACGAAACTAGGAAGGGACAGTTGTCCAGTAGTCCAGTGCTGCTTTTCAGCAATTCTTCCTTCAAGTGACATCTGTCTGTGGTCAAACGTGAAACAGATTAACTCTCTACGAACTGTCTCTTGGAATGGTATTTCAGTCACTTGTCTAACTTACGGCAGAGGCATTGGATCAAAATACACCAGTCTCTGGATTGAGTACAAACACCATTCAACTCTATTTCTTAGCTGATAGTACATTCAGACATATGCCCTTTTGATGTGTATAATTTTCGTCTTATCATGGGAATTCGTTGGTTGTAAATCTATACTACAACAAAAGCAAACAGAGACCGCAGGGTTGATAGCTTTTCTTCCCAATTAATCAATCAACTATACTCATTATTTACTCTCTCATTAATTAGTGAGTACCAGCCTTTGGGTATCGATGTACACACTGGTGATGACAATGGGGAGACAAAAACTCCAGCAACTAGTGCACGCATACATACTTATATCTATCTGTGGGAGAATGGGAATCTGTTTGATTTGAACAAAAACGTGAATTTTGTGAGGTTTCAGAATCTGTGTTTTTTTTATATACGTATAATAATATTTAAGATAGGTGGTGGAGTGCATTTGATATCTGATCTATCTAATCAGAACAATCAAAGGAAAATAACATTAATCACCTTTCTGTCTACTACTGAGGGTAATTTTTAAGATTTTTGTTTTTTTACATACACAATAAACAAAACTGAAAAATGAAACACAACAACAACAACAACAGTGAAAAGCTTTCAAGCCAGCAGATTAAAACCTGTGAAGAAGGTTAAAGAGCTGAGAAAAAATATACGCTTAAAACGCATTTTCAATGTAAACTTTTTCGTCTTACATTTTTATATGTGCACAAGTGTATAGGTACTAATGCATGTGTGTGTGCGTGTGAGCGTTGGTATGCCTTATAATATACCTTCACTACAGCACAATATTTATGCACTGAACAATCACACATTATTCATTTATACTGTGAACTAAAAGACCCAGGTTAAGTGAACAAACACACATACCCATATCCGCTCATGCACGCACGCACACACACACACATATACACAGACATAAGTATCAAACCCTTTTCTCGATTAAAAAAATAATAATATAATAATCATGTGGATAAGACAAATGAAAGGTGGGTGGGGGGAGGGGAGTGAGAGAAAATGCAGACAAATTGTAATGTCAAAAATGATCAAAATAACATTAATGTATATTATGCTTTCATGATCACTATTCGTTTTAATAGTGATATTATTAACCCTAATAATAATAATAATAATAATAATAATAATAATAATAATAATAATAATAATTGTTATTTTTGAAGGTTTCAATCCCCTCAGACTCGGTGATAGCGTGTATCCATATGAAAAATGTTCTATATTTTTATAATAATCATAAAGAAATTTTTAACAGGTATGCACTTATATTGTATTATCATTATATTGATAAATGTGTTACCTGCCTAGAATTAACCACCACTCACTTACTAACAAGTGCCTAAGCAACTAGACTGTAGGTTTGTTGTCAGTGTTCATTTTGTCTTGTTTTGTTGTTTTTTACATTTCGCTAAAACAAAATATAGTCTAGGAAGAAAACCAAACAGAAGTACCGAGAATTGTATGATGGCACTTTGAAAACTGACATATATTTGAAAAAGAAAGGGAAAAGATTTTTTTTAATGCTTAGACGTGAAAACTATCTGTTTAAAGTTTGTTACTATCCCCAGTTCCTCGTGCCTCCTACGCCTGGTGTACCATGTGTCAAAAATTAACACTACTAGTACTACTAGTACGAGTACATTATTCCATCAAGGCAAGACCACACCGCCAATTGCCCACCTCCTCGCCCTCCTACCCCACTTATTCCCAATGAAAATATTAACGTTTCAAGACGCAGCTAGATAGATAGATAGATAGATATAAATAAATTCTGCAAAAATCCAAAAATCCAAAACATACACTAAGGTAGGATGAAAGTTAAGAAAGGCGAGAAGTAGGTGATTTTTAAATGCTGACTTGTGAATGAATACAAAACAGGAATACTAAATGAATTCTATTGAAATTTACATTGAAATAAAGAACACAAGATTAGTCCTTAATTTTGCCTACTTGTTATTTCTCGCTATACCGACCAACCACCCACCCACCCATCTACCCCATCTACCCTATCCATCCCCTCCAGTCTTATCCAGTTTTTAGGAATAATCATATAAAGATGTATGAAAAATATCAGTTGTCAAGGTTTACCATTTTTCACCAACTTTACTGCATAAATTCCACTGATTATTGTTTTTTTCCTGCCAACAGCAGTACAAGAGAAGTAAGTGTATCTTTCTTCCTTTAATCAAATAGAAATTAATTTAACTAATTGATGAATATGGAAAATTAATACAAAAACTGTCTAAATAATAAAAAATATCATGATATTGCGGTTTAAAAGCTTTATAAACACAAGATGAGGTGAATGCCTGTTAAATTTCTATTAAAAAACAATTGACCATGCACACACACACCGACAAAGATGTATATACACATTCCGATTTCCCTATTTTATATGCGTAAGTATAATTTTCAGTTTTGCGGTAGCGAATATGTACAGACTTATTCCATCGCAATGGCTCCAGTGTATGTCAATGGCGATCTTCCTTTTCTCCTGTGTATGTGTGTATGTGTGTGTTTAAATTATTCAATAATCAGCTAGAGAATTTCATCATGAGCTGACATCAGTTACAGAACCATTGGAAAACCAACTGGGAATGCTAGACAGAGAAGTGGTCGCGTTATGTCATGAACTGGCGGAATTTAGAATCCATGCGTTGGATCCCAGTGGCTTAATGGTCTACAAGGGTTAGCTCGCCTTGTAACCAATAGGCTGTAGACTTGAACCCCTATGGTGGGTGCGTACCGCTGAGGAGTCGCAAACCAGGACGAAACAACTGTCCAGTACTCCGTGGCTCGTTTTCCAATGGTTCTCTAACCGATGCCAGCTCATGATGAAATCTTCTAACCAATCAAGCAAACAAAACTCCCTACAAAACCAATACTTGAAAAGATTCAATAATCCTTAAATGTGAGCAAAGAAACGAGGTTAGTAGAAGATAAATTTCTCCTTTTGGAACCTACTGTCTCTCTGATTCTTTGTACTAAGCGTGGTGTAGGTGTGGAAGTAATATTCAGTATTAGCTGGTTTACATCCTTTTTTTCCAAAGAAAACCCTTATTAAATGCATGAAACTACACAGAAACGAAATCATCCTTGGGTAGTAAGTTTTTAATTCCTTTATTCACTGGGGTTATGAGTCAGTATTTTCTGTTGAAAGTACTTTTACAAGAACATCTGCTTGTTTGGAATACTGCTGAGCAGCTTTCAAGGGAATAAGGATTTATCAATAATTTTCAAATCAAATGTCCTTTGATTTTCTATCATTAGACTTATGAGACTTTTGAAAATAATAAATAAACTGTTCTTTACTATATTTTATTTAATTATATATTTTCCATTACACTTCCGAGCTGAATAGAGCATGGCCTTTTCTGAGTAGCATCGCCTGTATGACTGTAACCTGATTACCTGGGTAGGTTTCTCCAATCAGTAAAGTATCAGTATAACATGGGATATTACTGTGACAATAAATCTTCAGACATGTGAGACTTTAACACTGACAGGCTTAAACTTTTATTATTATTTCCTTTAGTTCCTAGAGGATGATAAGGCCTCAGCGGTACGTCTCCATTGCGTTCGGTTCTCTGCCAATGTTTCTCCTAGCTCCAAGTCTGCCCACAAGCTTTCATCTCCTCTTTGCATCACCCCCTCCTCCTTGTCACCTTCACACTGATGACCAACTAACTCGCCGCTTCCCATTCGGGTTCCACTCCAGCGATGGCCTGGCATGTAACGTCACTCATATAGCCAATCCAAATCCATTTCTTCCCGCATATTTGTTGCACAATTGCTTTCTTCTGGGTTGGTACGTTCATTACCAGAGATCTCTTCCTGCTGCTGATCTTTTCTGGCTGGCCATCTGATCTTGAACAGTATTGAGCGAAGATAGCTGTTGATGAAGGTCTGTAGTTTGTTCGAAGTGCCCTTTGTGACGCGCAGTGCAAGTCTCTGATCTGTATGTTAAGTGGCAATGACTTCACATTGGAGTTGAAAATCCAGATCTTATTTTCATTTTCATACTGAGTGCTTAAACTTGAACAATATAAAATCATTTTTACACTGATTTGATTGAATTTATGCTCGTAACAGTACAGTGCATGTCAGTCACGCGAGAGATCTAGGTTTCGATTTCTCGCCGACACACTGCAAAGACTTCCCTAATTTACCAGCCAGCAATGAGCCCGGAAAAGAGGGAAAATAGTGGGTGTGGAACTGGGAAACTCATACGATAAAGTCAACACCGCTACTGAAATATAAATACCTGGAGTTTGAAGCTCTGTTTTTCTCTGAGAACGCAAATCATGAAGACTGTTCGCTTGTTGTCAATGAGCAGTTTATACATGCTTAACGGATTACTATACAGGAAAGAATGGAGTCTTACTGGCCATTGTTTCTTAGTCAAGCTGTAGAGTGGAAACTCGTTCACAGGTGCCTAACAAGTCCACTGTTGAACACTGTAGCAGGAGACAACTTTATTACACTAGATTGGGCAGGTATTCGGTCTACTGGAATAGTCATACAGGCAGCCATATTTTCAATAAGTCTTCCATTGTTTCAAAGGATAAGTCTTGCCCTTTAACACTTGTCTTCTTTATATTCTTAGAAATAATCAATATCCATTTTTCTGTATCAGTATAAGGACTGTAAAGTAACAGTTTCCCTATTTTTAAATCTTCTAAGATAATAAATTCTCCATTCAGGGCTGCTACTATACAGTCATTTCTCAGACTGTATTATAGACTATTCAAACAAAAGCCAGGAATGACAAAATTTCCACCACCCGAATCCCTATACTTTTCATGCAAGTCGAGATATGGTATCACTTATCTTTAAGTTTTCGTGTGTGTGTGTTTAGAGATTAGTTTAGAATCAGTGGGGTCCATTGGATGCGGTTGGCTAACAAGTCTAAGAGTTAATCCTGTAACCTGAAGGTCCTAACCTCGATCCCTGGTAGGTTCATGGAGGCGTACTATTGAATAGTCCCAAACTAGGAGGGCGAAACAGGTGTCCAGTTCTCTTGATAGTTGTGTTTAATTCAAAACAAGATTTCCTCATTTTGATTCTACTCTGTATATTGTAAATGCGTCGGTGGAACAACGGTTAGGACGCTCACCGACCATGCACATGGGCCGGGGTTCGATCCCCGGCCACCGACGCACTCATTTACCTCGCTAAGCCAGAAATAATTCTGGTTAAGAGGAAAGGTTGGGCATGAGGCTAGCAACCCTATCCTGTAAAAATAAACACCACTGCAACAGAAACTTCAAGCCACTAGCTTGAAGCCTTCCTATGTTCCACTGGGAACGTGAAGGAAAAAAAGTATTGTAAACAATTATTACTACAGCGCGTTAGGGGATTTCATTTATATGTGAGTTAATCCACATTTGTTTGTATCTAGACTTAAACACATAATCTAATAAATATCCTGTGAACACAGTCTGATTTAATAAATGAATTTTTCTAAAAGGGGAAAAAATGAGCAGATTACTTCCCAGGCATTTGCTACTCACACCATTCATTAAGTAGTATAAGTAGGAAACAGCAAAAAAACAACACGCCAACATCAATGAATACAAACTGAACAGACGATCAAATAAATCACTGAATAGTAAGTGAGTGAGTGAGTGAGTGAGTGGCCTAAAAGTCTAATTATACAAGTATACATTGTAAACCAGACAGTGGTGTTTAATCTATCGCATCTCCGCTTATTTCACCGAATAAATACACACATATAT